CATAAACTGTTTCTTGTTAGTCAGTTCCTATCTTGCCTTATGGTTATTAAAATTATTATGTTAGTAATTTTACACAATAGACTGTACCCAGAGCTCTGTTGAAGGCGTTAAAAATAAGCTGGTTTTGTCAGAATCAAAATTATTCAACTGATATAACAGTGAATGATTTAACTAGTACATTTTTGCTACTTGTTAAAGGCCTAACTTAAAGTCCATAGAATGTACCACAACAAACAATTTGAAGGGTTTTGAAAGATGATTTTACTTCTAAAATACATTATGAAAAACCAAAGATATGATGTATTTTCATGCTTATTTATTCTTAACTGTATTACTATGGCATGGCATGATACAACATTACAGTGTTAATTTTTGTGAAACTGTGAAGTTTCTGTGAAACTGCATGTTACTGTCCTGTATGGGCACGGCAGCTAGTGCTGCTGCTTTCCAAAGCCTCTGGAAGTGTTTTGTTGAATGATGTCCATGTATGTTAAGTTAGTCTTCTAGAGGGAATTCAGACAGTGTAAACTTTGCAAATTCTAGTTAATTATTTTCAAATTTGATTTATGCTGTCTGTGAACACCTTGCATATTTTTGATTGCTAAAATACACAAATGAAGGAGGAGTTTCTGCTGGTTGAGTTGCAGTATTATTTTGACATCTTACTTAGAACTGAAGACTTTATCACTGCCTTGTATGAAATCTTCCAGGGACTTATTATTTAACATCCTTAAAAATGGATTTTGGAACCTATTTGGGCTCCCTGAGAAGAAAAGAGCAGCTGTTCAGTTTCCTGAAGCCTTCAAACAGATACTTAAAAATACTCGCTATATGTGCATGCAAAGTAATTTAAGTTAAATCTTGTGACATCTGGCTCTGGAAGCTTCTACACATCCTGGCCTTTTAAAAAAAGTTTTTGAGCGTGTTTAATAAAAGGGCTCTGCAGAGCTGGCTGTCAAATAGTTGAATGGCATTTAAAAGTGTACAAGTGCTGCCTAGTGTTCCAGATTGAAGATAAGGAACATCTGTTGTGGGTTGGGAATAATTCCTACTCTGTCCTAGAGCTCATTAATTTCAGAGGAATTACAGACCGATGACAGGGTGATATTTTTCTACAGAAGTGCTCAGGAATTAGCCATAGCCATAAGTGCAGGGCATTGCAGAGCTGTACCATGCAAGATACATGTTGCTACAAGACTATTAAGTTAAACATTTTTTTAAGATGGAACACCAAAAAGTGGTTTCTCTAAAGTTATTTTACAACATTTAAAAAAATACTTTTCTGTCAACATTTTCTCTTCCTTTTATTGAACAGTTTGGCCTTCTACTTGATTCCCCTCAGTTGCATGCTACATTACTCATCATATTTTGTTTTCTGTGTCTAAAGTTTAAAAAAAAAAAGACATTCCAATGTGTACTAGCAAAAATTTGTCATTAGATGGCACGATACTAATAATTATGAAATCCACATCTTTACTTTTTGTGGCTTGATATGAGACATGAAGGGCAATGGTGAGATGAGATGTCTGTATGACCTGTGTAGCAGCAGGAAGCCCTCTGTGCTAAGCCTGGCTGCTTGGCTCACCCATGGGAAGGGGAGGAACACACTCCCTGGCTGCTCCTTGTCTCCTGCCCAAGTGTGACCCAGCCACCCCTCAGTGTGGTGGTGGGATGCCGTGGTGGTGGACCATGATAACTGTGTTCTGGTCACCTCAGGGGTGCTGTTTCCAGTCAGTTAAGGTAGAGAGCAGGGAGCAGCCCGCACAGCCTGTAGATGAGGCTCCTCTGTTGGCAGGCAAAAATATTTTCAAAGGCAGCCTTCTTGATTTTTACCAGCAATTGGCAGGAATTCTCTCAAGGAATGGTTATCCTGCTAAAAATAGAATAATAATGAAAATAGCAAAAATATTGGTTCTGTCACTGTTGATGATGATGTCTGGTTTTCCTATCTTAAGAAATATTTGAGTAAAAGCTGAGTGAAGATGTGCACTCATTTAATAATTTTTCCTATTACCTGTGTGCAACTTCTCTAAAACTTGTGGAGAAACCTATTTGATATATCATAAATATTGTAAAAATGAGACCTCTTAGTTCACTTATGTGCTATTACCTGCCTCAATAACACATTCTTATTCCTACTGTGAATTCTAGTGCATTTTTCTCTCTTAGATATGGTAGAACTGTACATTCCCAATCTAAATTGGCAAGTGTATTGATTAGCCTACCCACACTGCAGAGCTTTGCAGCTGTTTTGCTGGTTTGGTGGGGAGGGCACACCAGGCTGAGGTGATGCCAGTGCTGGGTGGCAGGAGCCCTGAGGGAACCCACCTCTGCTGCTGCACGCCCACTGCATGAAACCCGTGAGCAGGGAAGGACAGACAGATTTCACCTATCCGCCTGATCCCTGGTGAGCCAGCACAAGCCAGCCCTGAACTGCTGCACTTGTACCTGGGCACAGGAGTGGTGGAGCCTGCCATTTCAGGGTGTTCTTGGCACCATCCTGGGATGGCTGTCAGTGGACAGTGGATGACAGAGGAGCATTGAACTCTGCAGTTAAAATGCAGTGGCAAATAAATTCTGCGAAGATTTGTTATTGCAAGAGAAGGACATTTCTTGTTCATGTTTTTGTCGTTGTGACAGGTATTGTTTGTCTTTTCTATTTTTAAATTTCTTCCTCAGCTTTAAAAAATTTCCGTTTTAACGTACAAAGCAAAGCTCTTAAGGTGTCCTGGAATAGGTAGGCAAGTGGTTTCAGTCGGGTGGGAGAGAGGGAAATAAGGCAATAAAACATACACAGGCATCTCTGTAGGGTTTTCCTTTTTGACAGTTTACATGTGGAATTTGAATAATGGTTGGACTTTCTATTTTTTCCTGGTATTCTGCCACTGCTTTTTTCCCGTTAATTATCTCATTTCCCCCTCCTTGTTTTCTGTCATCTGATTGTCCAACTTGCTACACAGATTATAATGAGCAATTGGGTCTTTTAACTTTGTGTTTCATGGCACAGATTATGTGCCGTGAGAGGTTTGCTCTCAGCACTAGGCTTTGACTGCAGGGTTACTTGGAACAGTGAGTGGAGCTGCGACTGAAGAAGAGCAGATGAACTATTTTCCCTTATTTATGAGATTTCTGCTTTAGTTATTTGTTCAAAGATTTGCACCAGTCAGGACACCACTGGGGGGTTGTCCTAAGTGGTTGGAGTAGCTTGAGTTCTGATGAGTAACTTGTGCTTTGTAAGGCTTGAGTGGATAGTGCCATAGACATGGAGGTGATGAAAAAGGTTTATGGAAGTGATAGAGAGGTTTACATGATGTGTCAGCTAGATGGAATGAAGGGGAACTTTTTATTTAAAAGTAATGGACATGAGTTAAGGGTTCTCTGATCTCGTTCTTAATAATCTTCAATGGAGAAGTTTGTACATGGATTTCATTACAAGAGAAATTTCATTTGGTTACTAAGCAACTTGGTTTTTATAAGAAGGACAAATGTTTTAATCCAAAACAAAACTATAGATGAACTTTAAAGAAGATTTTTCCACCCCAATCATACTTTGATGGACTAGCAATGAAGCACAGATAACTGTTTTCTTGAATGGTATGAAACCCAGTGGTACCTCTGATATATGTAGACTGCTTTCTTATTAAAATAAGACTTTGACAATTTGATTTGAAGAAGCAGATTGGGGGAGATAACTGAAAAGTTTGGAATCTGGATGGAGACAAAAGCTTCTGCAATGTCTCCAAGAAATGAACATGAATGTTACATAGTGTTTAAGCTGAGTATTGATGGAGCAGATGTGGGAAGTCGGTTAATTCATTAAATAGGCAAAATCCTTCCTGTTAATGACATCTGAGGTCTTTCCTTGAAAGCTCTTACAATACAATTTTACTTTTTTTGTGCGTATAGTTCTTAAAAGGAAGACTTTTGAATGACTAGTAACACACTTCTTTATAAACTAACAGAATTATCTCATACTGTTACCACACTATCGTGCTAAAACAAGCTATATGTATTTTATATAGAGAGAGATATACATAATCACTTCTACTTATTTTCATGATGGAATAGGATCTTAAAATGTTGTCATTGAATCACAACCCTTCCTATGGTCATGTTGACTGTGGAGTTCTTAATGTGAATTTTTAGCACACAAATCAGAAGCCTCATGAAAAATGCTACTCCAGGAGTTAACTGGCCATTTCATGTTCTAAAATGTAATCTGATTTGCTCTAGAGAGAAAAATGTAGTGCTGGATTTTTCCATTCAGCTAACTCACCTACTTAAAATAATAGTGCTGGAACAGTTGAGTATGGCTGCATGCATCAAGAGAGAGAGGAATTTCAGTCAGAACAGTGGGAGGGAAGAGTGGAGGGAGCTAATTGTTAACTGGGGACTTTGGAGGAAGCTTATATGGAAAAGCACATTGATAGTGCAACATAATACTGTTCAAATAAATATTCTGCCGCATGGTGGAAATAAGGTGTTTCATATTTGCCATTATCTGTTCATGCAGTCTGGGTTTATACATTAATAAAAATACATTAAATACACCTGTGGTGTTTTAGTTAAAATAACTAGGGCAGAATAGGATTTAACATGACTGCATAGAGAACATAATGAGTTCAAGACCCAGCAGTCCTTTACAGATCAGTTTCTATCTAGGGCCATTAGTTCATAGTTTTATCTGTAATGTCTGGCTTTGAGTGTTTAATAAATAAATCGGATTTGGACCATTTGAAATGGTTAAACTTAAAACTTCTAGATTGTTACTCTCAAATAAATGACCTAAATTAATATAACGCTTACATAATCTATAGTAGTCCTTACTGGTAATGCAAACAATAGCTTTAATTCTGTTCTCTAACTGCTGTTACTCTTAGGGTTGGTTTGATTTCAGAGGGATTCATTTGTTATCCTGCTACAGCACAGTAGCCGAGAGCCTAACTGTGGGGTTTTTCTGTAAGAATATGAAATGTTTTAACTCTCTGCAATATCCACAGGTTTTAGGACCTGCCCCAAAATGGTGTTCCTTCTTGGACAACTTGACTGAAGAACTGGAAGAGAATCCAGAGAGCACAGTATATGATGATTACAAATTTGTTACCAGAAAAGACCTTGAAAATTTAGGTAAAACAAAAGAGTGTCCTCTTTAGCTGACTTCTTTGTTTAATTTTCTGTTGTGCACGCATGTAAGTTTTCTAATGACAATGTGACATATGAGGACTGTTAAAAATGCACTGGCAGTAATTCCCTCCAGTCTTCTTAGTTATTAGTATACCAGACTGATAGCTTTTTGTTCTTCTGTTTCCAACCAGTACAACACTAGACATTTGTGTTTCTCAGATTTTTATCCCAAGAATGTGGTTGATATTTGCTGATTTAACATCTAGTAACCTTTTTTTGTGTCTTCAGAGACTAAATGGGGAAGGCATAGGAAGAGAAGGTGGTTTAATTTTCAAAATATTTTTGAAGTGCTCAGGTAGTGTGTTGGAACTCAGAGAAGTATGTGCAGTCATTTCCAGAAAGTACAGATTGTTCTAGGGCTCGTAGAAGCATAGTTCCAAGGAGTCAGAATGCTGAAAATTACATAGCAGAGAGGGTAAGCATCCATCTCCCAAGATCCTTTTCCTGTCCTTTACATGTTTTGATTGCAGTTTAATTTACCTCTGAATATGGGAGTTGGGTTTCTCCTGGCAGGAGGCCATATAAGGAGGAGGTCATCCAAAGAACCTGCATCTTCAGCGTTAGAGTTCTAGAGTAGGTGTTCTGAATGTAGCCTGCAGACCTCTATCCCAATTGTAAGTGAATAAGGCAATACACAATTATCTGCACAGAGACTTGACTGGGAATACTTACTCTGCTTTCAATTCACTATAACTTAGTCAAGTTCACTTCCCTATAAATACAAGCTTTCAAATCAAGAACCAACTTAAGGATATTTTGTATTTCATACATCAGGGCTTCTTTGTATTACTAGCCATTAGCTGGAGTACTCCAATTTTGGAATAGGAGTTAATTTTTTTTTTTTTTTGGAGACAGATTTGGTTTCTGAGATGCACAGTGGTTTCTCATCTTTTTTTGATGTTGAGTTCTAGAAGAAGCTTCTTAATTTCTAAAGATTCAAGGACCATAAAGGATATTTTGCCATAAAAAGTTTTTCCTTTTCTCAGTCTTAGAATTGTGTGAAGTTACATGGAGGGAAAATCAGAGAACTCTTAAGTACTTTAATTCTTACTTAGGTTACAGCCTAGAGTGATGGTTTTATGGCATAATGTGGTATGATATTTTTGTCACCATGTTGATTCTTCAAAGATAGAGACCCAAGGCAAAACTCTTTAATTAAAAAATTCTCTATACCACACTAAAAAAGCGATTGTCAAGCATCTCTAGACTTTGATTAAAAAACCTCTCTAATTTTGCTTTGTAAACTTTTATGAAGCATAGTGCATATGGGCATTTATTAAAAGGTCACAGTAATGTTGTATTATGATAAGAAAAATGGATTTTGTTGCTCAGAGGAAGCTCAAATTTCTTGCTGGCCAAACTGATATTTTTTTCGTGGTTTTACTTAGTCTTGGTGTAATGGATGTGACTGTTAGATGTGTTGCATTGCTAGTGCTTGTTGGTCTTGAATTGGGTAAGCGAAATGCCTGTCTTGGAATAGAAGTTCTTTGTATATGAAAGCTCTTTGAAATCCTCTGTAACTTTTTTCCCAGGCCTTGCTCATCTCATTGGATCATCATTGCTCAGAGCATATATGCATGGCTTTTTCATGGACATCAGACTTTACCATAAGGTAAATAAGACAGATTGTTGTTGTTTTTTTTAGGTTTGTGGTTGTTTTTTTGTTTTCTCAAAATAACAGACTGGTCCTGTTTCTCTTCACTTCCTGCTTGTTCAAAGGCTAAAATGATGGCCAACCCCTTTGCCTATGAAGAATACAGAAGAGAGAAAATCAGACAGAAGATAGAAGAAACACGTGCACAGAGAGTTCAGCTAAAGGTAAAGCCTGTAAACAATGAGTATACTTCTGGGAAAAATATTCATAAAGAATAACATATTCTTAAGTATATCTCAGAGATGTAATGACCTAGGATTTGATTCTGTTTATCATGAGGCACACAAGGTAATTTATGGAGCTTTTTGAATGGAACTGTAAAACTCCCTTGTGTGTAATTCCCACATATGAGAGTCTGATACCAAACTGTATCAGAGCAGTTCCCATCACATGTGCCACTTGAGCAGATAGATAACCCACTGGTAAAACTTGTGGTCTCTGCTTCTGTCATTTAACTAAATTACTTAAGCCATTAAAGCATAATATTCTGGAATGAGACATAAAAATAGTATGGTGTTAATAACTAGTAAATAACTGCATTACAAGGCAGAAGTGATACATAAGTTCTGCTTAATTTTTCTCCAAGTGTTATTGCTTTACTAGTACCTACAGATATTTGGAACCAGTAAAGGAGCTTTTCTGCTCTTAACCACAGTTATGAATATAAAGCATGTAGGTGTTTGTATGTGTAAAAGAGTAATTTACTAATTGCTTCACTCTTTAGAAACTTCCAAAAGTCAATAAAGAGCTTGCACTCAAACTGATTGAAGAAGAAGGCGAAGAGCAACAGTTTACTAGAAAAAGGAAACAAAAGGTGAGCTTTTGTTTTGGAGACTTCTCTAACTGGGAGCACAGAAATAGTAATGCTTACAGTATTGATTTCTTTGCTGTTGTTGGGTTGGTTTTGTTGGTGTGTTGGTTTGGTTTTGGGTTTTTTTTTTTTCAATCTGGCCAGACACCATCAAAATTCCACTGTTTGTTTTTCTTAAATAGGTTAATCTAGTAGATGGCTTTAAGGTGAACTTCACTGTAGCTGCAGCACCAAAAAGGCCGTGTAGTAACTTAAAGCTTAAAATAATGAAATAGTCGCTGTGAAGATGATACAGGCTTCATAGGACTCCAGAAGCTAGCTAAATGCAGAGTCGATACTGAAGTTGCTTGAAAAAGACCTTTTGTTAGCAGTTGGAATTTTGGTGGAGACCATGACAAGATAGATTTTGTCTGTAAAACTGAAGATACAATTGCCTTTCGTTGTGTACAGTTAACTACATTTTCTAAAGAGAGCCAAAATGGTTTACTCTTACACAATAGGAATTCTTCCTGAAGCTTAAAATAATCCATTTTTATCCTAAGTGAAGTCTAAATGAAAAAATGAGTTAATGTTTAATATCAGGGGGAGGGTCTTTCTGTATGTAGCATTTCATAGACGGTCTTTCTCACAGGAATATGGCATTCATGAAAGGCAGGCACTAGCTTTGCCATCTAATGAAATCCTGTGTATTACAGTTAGCACAAAGTACGAACTCCTGAAAAAGTGGTGGGAAAACCTTAAATGCAGACTAAGCCAGTGTTATGATGGAAATACGAGTTCAGTCAAAGGCGTCTGATTTCTCTAGCAGCACATACAGCTTGTGTTAAGTGGAATAAAGAGAGTATACATAAAAATACATGTTCTGGTTATTTCCCTGAAATAGCATTGGATTCTTATGAAGAGATTTTATTTTAGACTTTGGGATTTAATTTTTGGTAATGTGACTGCAAGTCACACATTTGCAACAGTTTCTGTATATGAAACTTACACTTGTTTTCTGTATCTTTTTTTTTGTCCCCACTTCTTAGGCCACAATGGAAAATTTAATGCTGGGGTGGGATGAATGTGCTGGTATAAGTTTGGCAGTCTTGACAGATCAGCTTTTATAATTAAAATATATTAAAAAAAAAATATA